AATTCAGTCAAAGAAATATAGCTCTGGTGTCTGCGATTATCCTTCTGTGACTGGATTACACAAGCTAATCTCTCCTGAAATAGCTACTACGTTACACACACACACCCCACATCTCTTTCCATTTCTCTTCAAAAATGTATAGAAAATGCCAGTCAAGCTTCTATGGGACATTAAATAACTGAAAGGAGAGAAATATTACGTACCAGTGAATCACTTAATTTTGGTGTAGCATTTTATATTCTCTTTGGATATTCTGTATATGAATATAAAATTGTAACTTGTCTGGCTTCCTTAACGTTTTCGATGGATATTAACATTGTGCGCCTCCCAATCAGAAGAGAGTAAAACCAGGAATTAAAAGTTCCTCTGGGACTGAAATAGCCTCACAAAGATGAGCAAATCAAGTGATTGAAAGTCAGTAGAGACTGTCAAGGAATGAAAAGGAAGGGGTCGGATTTTCCACACTGGAAACAGTGGAGAAAGTGCAGATAGTGCCTCTGTAGATCCTAGATGCTCCAGTGCCCTGTGCTCTTCCTCCTCTCACTGTCTCACAGGATCTTGAAATCAGAAATCGAATAGCATTTTGCCCAGTTTTCACATCTTTTACCCTTTTGGGAAAGTACTCAGGTGCCATATCTTTGAAGGAAGCCATATTTTTATTACTAAGATGTTGTTTAGTTGTTCCTGTTTGTAATAAATATTTTTGAAATATTTTCAACTTTTTTTTTTGTTATTGCCATTTTAAGGATACTACTATTACTGGGGTTTTCAAGTTCTCTTAATAAAAAAAAAAAAAGTCTGGAGTAGGAAGAAGCATCTCTAAAGCCACAGGATAACAGGATTGATCTCTGCCTCGTCTCTAATTAGGAATAAGCATGCAGGTGCAAATGTAAGGTCTTTGGTGAGTAGCCAATCTCTACATAATGGGCTTTGATGAGAGTGGAAGGAGAACTCTTATTCTGAGGAATAGAGAGCCTTTGATTCCTTTTCTTTTCTTTTCTTTTTTTTTTTAAGGACTGTACATCAACAGAAAAAATAATTTGAAGGCCATAGACAATTAAAAAGAAACTTCACTAGAGACTTACTCGTTAGAAATACAGAAGATTCAACTCACGAATTTTAATTTAGATGTTCAAGAAGCATAAGAAATTATAGGTTTCATGTGTAACTGTGATTAAACTGATATGGCCATTTATTGGGGGGGGGAAAGGCCAGCCACAGCAAAGGAGGAAGAAGGCAATACTAAGAAGAGAAAGGCCAGTGGACAGCTAGGCAGGAAGGAGGGTGAGGGGAGTGACAGAACAGGAGAAAGTTCCCTTGCTGGGTTCACCCAGTCCTTAATGACCTTGACTCCATCCTCACTAGGCCTCTGCCTGTATGCTCCTTGCACTCAGAGGTCTAGCAACGTCATTCACCTCTGAAACTTTCAGGACTCTTTATTAACAGATCCTGCCCCGTGAAGGAATCTTAAACGTTCCTCCTCTCCCTCCAGCCCAGTCCCCCAAATCCTTCAGTTCCTAAACCTCAAATCTACCTTGCTTTCATAGTTAATACACCCAATCTTCCTCCTGCTTCCAGATTCAGATTAACGTTTTAACATAGTCCCTTGCATAGTATGAATCAAACATAGCATACTAGCCAAGCCCAGGAAGCCATGGACTCACCTGCTTCTAGCGAGCATAGATCTCCCTTAATGCTGCTTATGCCAGTCTTATCTCAACCTTTTCAGCCAAACCACCTACCAGAAACTTCATTAGGACACTTGCTTGATGTTTGTGTCTTCCTTTTGGAAGAGTTCTTAGAGGGCAACATTGCAACAAGAATTTGTCTTTTAAATATACGGTCAATTGTCTTAGTCTCATGTATATAAGAAGTTGATTGTCTTGATTTTGCTAACAGGGTATGATACTTCACAAATACTTCAAGGAGTTCTAACTCTTACAAGGATTGGTGAATGAAGCTGAGGTCTGGATCTATAATTTATCATGGCACTCCTATCCTTACTAAAGTGGTCTGCATAAATACTGGTAGATTCTCTTTCATTGTTTTCTCAAACTTAATCTTCTCACTCTTTGGGGGGAGAAGAGTTCTCTAGAAGCCAGCAATCCATGACATCAGTGACTCCAGTGTCAATCTGTATGTTTAGAATAGTGGTCAAAACATTCTCCATGGGAGAATAGTAGCATCCCTAAACCACTTTTTGTTTCTGGAGACATGTAAAATAAAAGGAATCGCGCTTAGTGAATGTAGGAATGAACTAATGCTTAGATATGTTTTAGCTCTCAGACATTTATGTTTGCAATTCAGCTGTAATGATATTGAGTAAAATGGGAGATAATTTCCAAAGTCTAAGGATGTCTCTTTCTACAGATGATTGAGTCAAAACATTGGGAAAATGTAAAGTGGAGCAAACTGTCCCTGGCAAACCTGCCATTCATGCACTCTAGGATTTCCACAGTAGCATTAATGTGTCCTGCCACTAGATGGTAGGCACACACCAAGCAGTGCAGCTCTCTTGGCCCTTTTCTCCGTAGATTTCATACATCAACTCTTAGCTTAACCAAGGCAATTATAAATATGAATTATAAATTCATGACCAATAACATTGTAACTAATTAAAATTATGTTATAATTGGCCGGGCGAGGTGGCTCATCCCTAATAATCCCAGCACTTTGGGAGGCCGAGATGGGTGGATCACTTGAGATCAGGAATTTGAAAACAGCCTAGCCAACACGGCAAAACCCCCTCTGTACTAAAAATACAAAAAATTAGGTGAGCATGGTGGTGGGAGCCTGTACTCCCAGCTACTCGGAAGGCTGAGGCAGGAGAATTGCTTGAACCTGGGAGGTAGAAACTGCAGTGAGCTGAGATCATACCACTGCACTCCAGCCTGGGCAACAAGAGTGAAACTCCATCTCAAAACAAGAGAAAATTATAATTATATAATTTTTATATTCAAATTTAATGGCTAAAGATAAAAATACCAACCATATTCAAAAATTTAAAAGACTTAAAACATCTTTCTATACAGCAAATCGTTCTGATTCTACATCTACTTCTTTAGAATTTGCACCAAGGCCAATCTCTTTGGAAATAAAATGGAAAATTTTCATTGCAATAAATACTTTTGCTTACACCGATTTCCTTCTTTGCCCCTAAATGTGGCAGGGCACTGTCTGTAAACCCAAAAGGTGGGCAGATATTTCCTTCCAATGGACTGACAACTATACCATGGATCTCTAAGGGGTGATACAATGGCCCAAGTCCAACTGGAGATTATTAGAAGTGGCTATTGTGGAGCTGAGAGTTGAACAGCCAGCAGAGAGTGACCAAGGGCAGCAGAATTCTGCAGTGTAGTGGCAAGTGTCCAGGGATGTCAAGGCCAGCAGTGGTATCCTCGGTTGACTGTTCATGGTGGCAAGATCTTGGCCATTCACCAGCTTCCTTTGTTCCAGCTCAAGCTTGATTCTCCAGGCTTCCTTCTGACTTTGGAGGAGTGTCTATATAACTGCAAAATATTTTTTTGTGTAAGTCAACTAGAGTTGACTTGTGTTTACAACCAAGAACTCTGACTGGCATGTAGTTTTAATTTCATTCTGCATCTCATTGCTTAAACAGCCAGTTTCAACTCATGGAGACGAAGGCACCTTGAGAAATAGGGATACAGGAATTTGGGGGTGAAGAAGCTTACTTGGTGCCATTCACTCTCTCGACTTGCATTGTCCAGTAAGTACCCACTAACAACATAACCTACTCAAATTTGTTAAAATTAACATGAAATGAAATTAAAAATAAGTTTCTTAGTTGCAATAGCCACATTTCAAATGTTCAGTAGCCACATGTAGCTAGTGGCTAATGCATTGGATGCTGCAGATCTAGAACATTTCCATCATTGAAGGAAGTTCTGTTGAACAGAACTGGCTAGATATTTTGTCTTGTCTGAATATTCATAAGGCTTTATATTTGTAAAAATAAGAAACAAAAAGTCTCCTATATAGTAATTCCTTCACTGTTTTATAGAAACAAAAATGAGAGGTAACCAGAAGTTGAAAACAATTTTACATTTTTGGTACAGGAGATTTCTTCCTTTGAAGATGAATTTAAAGAGTAAAGAACTGCGTTTTTGCTGTGTGTCTACCGTGAAAAAGAAGACCATTCTCTGCAACCAGACTGTTCACATTCCAGAAAATGAAGACATCACTCTGAAGGGACACCCAGTAATTGCGAAGCGCCCTAGAGAAACTCTGTGGAGGGACTTCAATCACATCAATGTAGACATCAGTCTCCTTGGAAAGAAAAAAATGAGTCTCAGATTGACAAAAAATGGTGGGGAAACCAGCTGCCATTTGCACTGTGCGTAGTCATGCGTAGAACATGGTCAAGGATGTCGCACTGGGCTTCTGTTACAAGATGAGCTCTGTGTGTACTCACTTCTCCATCAATGTCGTTATCCAGAAGAATGGGTCTCTGGTCAAGATCTGAAATTTCCTGGGTGAAAAATAAATCCACAGGGTTTGGAGGAGGCCGGTTGTTGCTTGTTCAGTATCCCAAGCCCAGAAAGATTAATTAACCCTTGAAGGAAATGACATTGGTCTTGCTGCAAATTCAGCTGCTTTGATTCAGAAAGCTGCGATGATTAAATAAAAACAAGAATATCAGAAAACGTTTGGTTCGTATTTATGTCTGTAAAAGGAATAGTACAGAAGGCTGCTGGATAAGACCTAAGAGTCGTCCAGCTACAGAAACGAGATGTCAGATGATTCCTAAGACTGACTTACAATATTTAAATGATACAATAAAAGATCTATTGATTTGGGGAGAAAAGAGTAAGGTACCAGTTGGATCATAGAAAAAACACTGTACTTAGATTTCTTCAACCTGAGACTTAGGTACACATGGTTACTTTCAAAATATATTCACAGAGAAACTTAGAATGCTATCTATGTCCAAATTCCTTTACATAAAGCTAAATGTAAGATTTAGAATTTAAACCAACAGTGCTTGAAGATACAGCTTTATTGTTGCATAACTCCAGCCTTGAAATACAGAATGGTCTCTCTTTATGCAGTGGCTTTAAGACACTTTCTGTTCTGTTGGTTGAGCAGGTAATCACTGGGGCACCTGAAGAATAACTGCTTATAATGAGTTCTGTCTCTGTCAAATTGTAGGCTAGATTAGTCATGCTGGGTTTTCTGTACAGCAGATGTGAGCAGACGTGGAGTTAATTTGTCTTGCCCAGTGGTTTTTGCAAACCCACATTGGCTCTGGTTCAACACACGCTCCCCTGGAGAATAAACAAAGAAAAGAAAATACATCAAATAATTTCTTTTTTTATTTTTTTATTTTTTGAGACAGAGTCTCACTCTGTCACCCAGGCTAGAGTGCAGTGTCATGATCTCAGAGCACTGCAACCTCCACCTCCCGGGTTCAAGCGAGTCTCCTGCCTCAGCCTCCCAAGTAGCTGGGACTACAGGTGCATGCCACCATGCCTGGCTAATTTTTGTATTATTAGTAGAGATGGGATTTTACCGTGTTAGCCAGGTTGGTCTCAAACTCCTGACCTCAGGTGATCCACTTGCCTTGGCCTCCCAAAGTGCTGGGATTACAGGTGTGAGCTAATATTTTATTTTAATAAGTACATCCAAGTATTGTCCGAAACTTTAAATGTAAGTTGGAGATCAAGCTTACATTGCAATTTATAACTGTAGAAGGAAAAAAGTATAACAATTTTCTCCAGCCTTCAAAAAGAGCAGGCAAAATAAAGAATAAATATTTAATGATTACATTTAACAATAAAGGCATGTTGGCTTCACATTTGTAAGAGAAAAAGTTTTATCATCAGAGATTCTCCCATAAGCTAGAATGTATCCAGTGTAATGAGGTTCTATAGCTCAGAGACCTTGAATTATTATTTTCAGGTGATACTCAGGCACTCTGTATTTTGAATTTCTTTGGATTATTTTACTGGTTGATAAAATCTTTCTCTCTTTGGTAATGGGTCATATGAAATGCTAGGTTGGTAGTGGAATGTCAATAGCCTTTATATCTGGAATATGAGACAGCATGTGTTTTTGTTTTTCAAACATTCAAAATAGATGTTGAAGGTCTGAATCCAAATGATTAGAGATTTAGGATTTTATGATTTTAGCCAAATAATATGTTTGGGTAATACATATTTATTCTTTTAAGCTTTCTTTTGAATTTAATAAAATGTTAAAGATGCCATTTTTTAACTTTCAGAAATCATAAAAAATTTGACAACTTGTCAAAATCACTTTGTGAATTGTTGAAAGAATATGTTGATTTAATTATGATGTAGAAATTACACATTTCTAAAACATTTTTTAATGAAGAGAAAAGGTAAACTGGACTTTGTATCTGCTGTGATTGTGTGTGTGTGTGTGTGTGTGTGTGCGTGTGTGCGTGTGTATGCTTCCAGTGGTAACACTAGTGACCTATTAATTATAGGAATTTATAATTACTCTTTAATGAGCAGCATTTTGGAATATGAATTCACAAACCTGAATACAAATTCTAATGACTGAAACTAAAGTTAAAACATCAATATTCCACGATTCGGTGAAATATAGTAAGCGCTGCAATGAATTATACTGCAACCAACACTGAAATACAATATCTAGTTCAGCTAAAGTTATTAATTCATTTTCTTTATAAAGAGGTCAGTTATAACTGTTTTCATTATAAAACAACTAAAGTATCTGATATGTTTGCAAAACTTAACAATCATGACCCTATTGAAGCTGCTTAAATATAACTAGAAAATTTTCAAAATTTCATAGTATATTATTTAACATTTACTAGTTACCTGCTGTGTGCCCAGATATTGGTAATACTCAAATTTAGACATTTAGTTTTTCACTTCAAAGAGCTTCTGGACTAGTGAGGAGACCAATGTGCAAACATTTTCTATAATAAGATAAATGCACATTGCAGTAATACACCAAGTACATTGGCAGCAAAGGATAAGTGACTCAGTATGCCTGGAATAGTCAGGAAAACCTTGAGAGAAAAGTAGAATTTGTGCTAAAGCTTAAAAACATGTAGGAGTTTGCATCATGGAGAAAGGAAGGGATATTTTCCTTGTGCAGGGAATGCCTTCTCTTCTTGAGAGGCCCATTTTGAGAACTAGAAGGAAATATCACACTAGGGTTTTCAATGGGAGGAATTTAAAACAGGAAATCAAATTCAAAGATGTTGGAACAGTTGAACGAACAATTAGGATGAGGTGAAACAAATACAAAGATTAGCAGCTGTAGAAAATCAATACCACCTCTAGGGCTGGAAGGACAAAGGAACGGTGGTGTTACTGCAGCCCAAGATGAATGATGTGTTGCCTGGTAGTTGTTGGGGACCCTGGTGGTGATTTACCCACTACTAGAAACATGGCTTGAGACAGAGAGAGAGAGAGGAGGGAGAGAAAAAGAGAGAGACAGAGAGTCTGCAAATTTACCTGAAAGTGAGATGGCATGAGCGCATGGGCAGTGTAGTTTGCAGAGGTCCATGCCCTGTGTATAAAGTGAAGCAAAAGAAAAATAAGAAATAGTCTGAAACTGGCTGGGCATGGTGGCTCATGCCTGTAATCCCAGCACTTTGGGAGGCCGAGGTGAGTGGATCACCTGAGGTCAGGAGTTCAAGACCAGCCTTACCAACATGGTGAAACTCCGTCTCTACTAAAAATACAAAAATTAGCTGAGTGTGGTGGCATGTGCCTGTAGTCCCAGCTACTCGAGAGGCTGAGGCAGAAGAATTGCTTGAACCCAAGAGGCAGAGGTTGCAGTGAGCAGAGATTGTGCCATTGTACTCCATCCTGGGCAACAAGAGCAAAACTCCATCTCAAAAAAAAAAATTTTCAGACCAAATAGGCAACCGACTAGAACAAGTGAGCTTAGAATACCCCTGCCTGTAACACCAGCACTTTGGCTTTGGGAAGTTGAGGCAGGTGGATCACGTAAGGTCAGGAGTTTGAGACCAGCCTGGCCAACATCGTGAAACCCTGTCTTCACTAAAAATACAAAAGTTAGCCAGGCATGGTGGTAGGCCCCTGTAGTCCCAGCTACTCAGGAGACTGAAGAAGGAAAATCACTTGAACCTGGAAGGTGGAGGTTGCAATGAGCCCAGATTGTGCCACTGCACTCCAGCCTGCACCGCAGAGGGAGACTCTGTCTCAAAAAAAAAAAAAAAAAGAAAAGAAAAAGAAAAAAAAAATGAAATCTTGAACTGGGACAATAGCAAGAGGAATGGAGAGGAAGAAACAGATTCCAGAAAAGGCCCAGGGGCCAGTTAGCTAATCGATGTGAAAGACACAAAGGAGCAAGTGTCCTACATTTTGGGAAAGAAAAATCTGCAGAAAGGAAATCCAAGGGAAAGGCTTTCAAGGTAAATGGGCTCATCATACACTACGAGGCTCACCATCAACTAAGAAAGAAAAATGTCTTTGGCCACCCTATGTACTATTAACTACAACCTTCATGAGACTATGACCTCCAAGCGAGATGCAGAAAAGAGACACAGAGTTGGAAAGTGGGAATGGTTATTTCTGCTTCAGAAGAGTCTACACATGCCCATCCCATTTGGGTGTTAACTGAGGTCATATCTGAAGTTTTCTTTTGGTGTTTTATACTTCCATCATTCCTTCAAATGTTTAACAATAATGCTTTCATTTGGCTCTGGTTTGTTTAGCTCTGCCACTACTTGGAGAGTGTTAGGGCTGCAGCTTCAAGAAATTATTTCATTGTGTCCACCCTTTCTCATGTTACAGATGAGAAAACATGAGCACAAAGAAATTAAATGAGTTGCCCAAGGTCACACTGCTATGTCGCCAAGCCAAGAACCCAGGTGTCCTGATGCCTAGCCTGCTGTTCCTCCCACTCCACCACAAGCACAAGACGATCAGCTTGTTTTCACTTAGGCTCCAAGTGAGGCAAACTTAATCGAAGAAGCTAAGCCCAGGAATTTAAAATTCACAGGGGGAGCCAAATAAAATGTCATGGTTAGGTTTTATTAAAAATATTAAATATACCCAGGATAGTTGATATTTTTGGGTAAAAGATCTAACCTAGAAAAAGCAGAAGAACCACTCAGGGGCTAAGATGCTGTGGCATTGGGACCATGACAATTATTCATTATATGAGACTGTCCTGAGCACTGCCGGCCATTCAGGATGTCTGGTTCTTTTGCACAACTAAATACAGAGCCACCCCCTTTCCTAGGCAGTTGGACAAACAAAACCATCCTCCTACTGGGTGGGGATTGGGGATGGGAGGGGTTTGGAAAGAGTACCGTCTTCGAGACAACCGCTGTTAGACTGAAAAATTGGTACAGAAGTTCCATCTTAAATAGGCGGTGGTGGGTGGGATTATTTTTACCATCATGTTCTCTCATACAGAAAAAGAATACTTTCATGTCAACTATATAACGAAACATTCTCAGTCGGAAGAACATTAAATTTGTTTCCAGAGACAGTGAAGAGAAGATAAAGTTTTATCATGTTTGCACTGCAAAAGGAATGATCATATTTCAGGCTAGATATTTAGAAATACAACTGAAATACCAGTGTAAGACTCTGGTTTTCCTCGGAGGGTTGCAACGGAAACATCTGTGCTTGAATTACAGTTCTGTCACCTGCTAGCTGTTTGATCTTAAGCAAGTTACTTAAACTTTCCAACATTTCTTGAGCCATTTCTTATTTCCTCAACAAGAAAATAGGGAAACTAACATGTGAAATGGACCTTCAATAGGCCCATCTAGTCATCCATTCAACATATTTTGATGACTTCCTGTGTTTTAGGTATTGTGCTAGGTGATGGTTATAGGGTATGCAAAAAGATAAGCCCAACCAAATCAAAAACAAGGAGCTTGCCTTTGAAAAGTTCGCAGTACAAATAAAGAAAATGTCTGCTTCTACATCTCTTATTTGAATGGAGATAATTTTATCAAGAGGTTTACTGGTATGAGTATTACTGAAAATGTTTTGTTGGTTTGTACACTGTCTGCTTAAATAACACTTGCTATGAGATGTGTATTAGCTTGGTGCAAAAGTAATTGCCTTTTTGCCACTTTTTTTTTTTTTTAAGACAGAGTTTCTTTCTTGTTGCCCAGGCTAGAGGGTATTAGCGCTATCTCAGCTCACCACAACCTCCGCCTCCTAGGTTCAAGTGATTCTCTTGCCTCAGCCTCCCGAGTAGTTGGGAGTACAGGCATGCACCACCGCACCTGGCTAATTTTTTGTATATTTAATAGAGACGGGGTTTCTCCATGTTGCCC